GCTGTCCAAGGGACTCTCAAGAGTCTTCTCCAACACCACAGTTCAAAAGCATCATTTTTTTTTGCACTCAGTGTTCTTTATGGTCCAACTGTCATATTTGCATATGCTACTGGAAAAACCATAGCTTTGATTAGACAGACCTTTTTGGAAATGTGACGTCTCTGCTTTCTAATACACTGCTAAGGTTTGTCATAGCTTTTCTTCCAAGGAGCATGTCTCTTTTAATTTCATGCCTGCAGTCCCTGTCCACAGTGATTTTGGGGTCCAGGAAAATAAAGTCTGTTACTGTTTCCATTTTTACCCCATCTATTTGCCATGTAGTTTTGGGACCAGATGTCATGACCTTAGTTTTTGAAACTTGAGTTTTAAGCCAGTTTTTTCACTCTCCTCTCTCACCTTCATCAAGAGGCTCTTTAGTTCCTCTTCACTTTCTGCCGTTACCCCACCCTAATTCTGCCTTCCTCCTAGAAACTCCTGCCACGGCAGTCTTCTCCAAATCCCAACTGATCACATGATTCTTTCAACACTCCCCATCACCATGGGACTGTAACCTGAAGCGATGTTGGGTGAGCATGGGAGAGAGTAAGGAGAAATGAGGTGGGGACAAAGCTTTGGAGAACAGCAACAAAGGCAAAAAACAGAGCCCTCCCCTCACCATCAGAGAGGTAAAAAGAAATCAGGATGGCGCAGTGCCATAGAACCCAGCTCCCAGTGAGAGTCACGATGGTCAGTTAGGGGACCAAATTCCACTAACAGACTTATTTTTGACTCTCCTATAAGTGGCTGTGCCCAGGCCCCCTTGTCTCCCTTTCAGCATTTCTTTGATTATTTCTCAGGGCGGGCATATCTTTGCTAAACTTCCTCTAAAGGGGCTCGCCCCATCGCCCCATCGTTTTAGTCTGTCAGTGCCTGTGGGGGATCTGTCAGCAGTTATCCACAGCCCACCCTCCAAATTCCTTCCAGCTTCAGTCATCTGCGTATATGGATAGCATATGTCACAAGCAAAAAATAAAATAAGTGAAGTGATGTAAATAAGAGTAAAACTAAAAATATCCTGGAAGCCCCACAGTGGCCTGATAGACAATCCCCTTGATATGGCTTGGGCGCCATCATCTCTGGCTGGGTATAGCTGTTCATCTGGCTACTGATTCACCTATTTGCCCTTGAAACCAGCCCTTGTTTTCTCCAATGTAAGTTCGAAAAGAGTGGGTATACTTCCCTATTTCCATTGTCTAGCACACTACATGGTACACTGTAGGTACTTTCAATCTTTGTAGAATGAATGAGTGAATTAAAGATCATTCCTCCCCCGCCAAAATAAAAGTTGCTCAATCTATGATGCAACAAGCTTATAACCCTGTTGAAATGAAATGATGCCTAAGTGTCTGTCAACAGATGAATTAATAAGAAGGTGTAGTGTAAATATATATGGACCTCTCAGGTGACTCAGTGTTTAAAGAATCCACCTGCCAAGGCAGGAGTCATGGGGGCGCCAGTTTGATCCCTGGGCTGAGAAGATCCTCTGCAGGAGGAAATGGCAACCCACTCCAGTATTCATGCCTGGAAAATCCCATGGACAGAGGAGCCTGATGGGCTATAGCCCATAAGGTCAGAAAGAGTTGGACACTACCGAGTGACTAACAATTTCACTTTTTTCATACAAATATGTATACGTATATATGTATAGAGAGAGATATTGATAGATAAGTAGACACAGATACAATGGAATACCACTCAGCCATGAAAAAAGAATGAAATTTTGCCATTTGCAGCAGCATGGATGGACTTGGAGGTTACTATGCTAAGTGAAATAAGCAAGAAAGAGAGAGACAAATACTGTATGATATCACTTATATGTAGAATCTAAAAAGTACAATGAACTAGTGAATATAACCAAAAAAAGAAGCAGACTCACAGATACAGAGAACAAGGTAATGATTACCAGAGGGATGAGGGAAGAGGGGAAGGGAATACAGGGGTGGGAGACTAAGAGGTACAAACTCCAGGGAATATAGCCAATATTTTAAATAACTGTAAATGCAGTATAACATTTAAAAATTCTGAATCACTATATTGTGCACTTATAATTTATATAATATTATATATCACCTATAACTTCCATAAAAAAAACTAAATGAAGGTTATTCATAATTTTCCCACTAAATAATGAGAAGATCACAAGATTGGGCTCAAGGATCTCTAAAGACCTCTTGAGTTTGTGAAGTTTTGGAGCTAACTTGAAATCAAGGAGATATTTATGAGTTTATATGGTTAGTTCATGATAAGACAAGCTTCACTTTGCAATTGGATGTCTAGGGCTGAAAACTGTGTTAGTCAGGGTCCTCCAGGGACACTGAACCAATAGGATGTACATATATATAATGTATAATATGTAGTACCTAGCACACCTCCTATAGCTTCAGAATTGTTGCAATGGCCCTGAATCACAGCTGCTTACATTTTCCTGTTAGCACAGATAGTTTTTATAAGCTGGGCCATCTTCCAGGGAAGCATAAGCTGGGGTTGGTTCTATGGGCTTTGCTTGGCACCTAAGAGATGCTCAGGAACAATTCTCTTGATTTCAACTCAAGTCCCACTGATTAAAAAAAAAAAAGCCATTATTAGCTATGATTAACAGCTTCCTAATTAGTTTGTGATGGACAGGGAGGCCTGACACGCTGCGATTCATGGGGTCGCAAAGAGTTGGACATGACTGAGCGACTGAACTGAACTGAATTAGAACTTAACATGTGGCTACCTAGAATATATTTTTAACCTTGTATCAGGAGACCCAGTGGTAAATCATTGCTGCCCCTCTACAAAGCGCTGGACTACACTTTGAGGAAGCTGTTTTATTTAATCCACCTGAGTCAGGTAATATAGGTGTAACAGGTCCTATCCTTGGCTCCATTTTGTAATGAGAAAATGGAGGCTCAGGAAGCTTGAGGGTCTGTGCATTGCCTCTTGTTCTGGCAGCAAAATCTATGCATGAAACCAAGGCTGTTAAATTCAGAGACGGTGGGAAGGCAGCTCTGCTCCACTGTGGTGAGTCCTCAGCTGGTTTGGCCGCAGTGGCTGGAGGCGGCTGGGACAACTTGGTTTGGGTTCAGCTCTCTGTTAGATTCCTTGGTTCTCCTAGCACACTGGCTACAGCTAGAAAGCCCACATGAACTTCTCCCCCTCGTCTGCACTTGGTCTAGCTGATACCACTCTCTCCTTCCAGCCCCTTTCTCCACGTTGCCAGCCTGGCTTCCTCACAGTAGAGTGGCCTCAGGCAGCTGGACTTCTTGCCCAGCACCTGGCCTTCCCCAGGCCAGAGGTTACAGAGGTCTACAAGGCTTCTTACAATCTGGCCTCAGAAGTCACAGACTGTCACAGCTGCCATATTCTGTTGATCAAGCAAATCACTGAAGCCAGTTTAGGCTTAAGAGGAGAGAGATTGGATTTTATCTCAATGGGAGGAGTAACAAGGAATTTTATCTCTTTCATCTACCACACCCATATTTAGTAAGAGGTAGAATGGGGACTTGGAGCCCAGATTTGCTTACCTTCAAAATCCTTGTCCCCCCGCCCCCACCCCCAATTGCTTTGCCTCTGTTGCATCCTCTGTGTGATGGCCACAGGGTTCCTCATTACAAGCAGGGCTGGGTCACCAAGTAAATAGACAAATAGCTGCTGGTAGCTTATGGTGAACGGTGTCGGATTTGTGATTTAACTTCGGGACCAGGGACCAGGCTTGATCACTCAAGAGCTTTCGTGTAGCAGAATTTTATTAAAGTATAAAAAGGGACAGACAAAGCTTCTGACAGAGACATCAGAAGAGGGATGGAGAGTGGTCCCTCTGCGAGTCTTTAGTAAGCTGTTTTATGTCTGTTTGGTTTAGTTCAGTCACTCAGTCATGTCCAACTCTTTACAATATCATGGACTGCAGCACGCCAGGCCTCCCTGGCCATTACCAACTCCTGAAATTTACTTAAACTCATGTCCATCAAGTTGGTGATGCCATCCAACCATCTCATCCTCTGTCTTCCCCTTCTCCTCCTACCTTCGATCTTTCCCAGCATCAGGGTCTTTTCAAATGAGTCAGTTCTCATCAGGCGGCCAAAGTATTGGAGTTTCAGCTTCAGCATCAGTCCTTTCAATGAATATTCAGAACTGATTTCCTTTAGGATGGACTGGTTGGATCTCCTTGCAATCCAAGGGACTCTCAAGAGTCTCCTCCAACACCACAGTTCAAAAGCATCAATTCTTCAGCACTCAGTTTTCTTTATAGTCCAATTCTCACATCTGTACTTGACCACTGGGAATACCATAGCTTTGAATAGATGGACCTTTGTTGACAAAGTAATGTCTCTGCTTTTTAATATGCTATCTAGGTTGGTCAGAGCTTTCTTTTATGTCTGTTGGAAAGCTGTTAATCAGATAAGAAACACTTCAAGGCTGATGGAGGCCCCTCTCCCACAACATGCATTTCTGAGATAGGAAGACAGGAGGTGTGTCATCCCCCAGCCATAAAACAATTGATAGGAATACTAGTTTGTTGAGCTATTATCAACCCAAGGTTTGAGAAAAGAAAAAAGTTAGTCTCAGGTGGAACCATTTTGAAGAAAGGCAAATTCCAAAGCAAATACATAGTTTCATGAACATAGCTTAAGAAAAACATTTCCACAGAGAAACTGCCTTTTAATTTTGTATGGAGAAGGAAAAAGAAATTTGACACTTGTAGTTTATTTCCTCCTCTAGCTTAAGGGAGAGATAAAAAATGTCTGACTCTTGCAGCCTATTTCCTCCATTTGGAGACCCCTGGCCTTCCTGTCTGTCACCCTCTCGCTGCAAGAGGTTTGTGAGACGATGCCCCATGACGCGTCAGGGTGAGGCAAGGAGAAGGGCGGTGGGGCGGAACGTCCCGCTGGGTAGAACAGACACCACGTCACCCCTCATGTTGCAGGGGGCCTGGCCCTGAGGCCGTGCAGTATTTCAGAGCTGAAGGGAAAATGTTGATGACCAGCGCTAATGAGAAACAGGAAGCAAGGGAAAGAGTAGAGGAGTCGAGTGCGTGGGAGGAGAGGTGAGGGGCTCGTCTCCCACTGGGGGTCGTCTCCCACGGCAGCGTCCTCCGGGAGGATGAGGGCCTCCTGGAAGCCGTGTTCAGGTGGGAACGCGGGGGCCTGGCTCTCCCGAGCCCTCTCTTCAGTGGTCAGGCAGGTGAGGACAGGGAGGAGGTCAGGACAGTGGAGGAGTCAAGAGAACACCTCATGAGCCCATTTACTTCCATCCCTCCAGCCTTTCCTTTTTCCCTCTGGAGACAATTCTTTGAATTTGTGGGAGAATTAAAGATTACTCGTTAAAAACAGACCAAAGTGTCGAATTCATAGCTCTTTCACGCTCAGCTCTTTGTAACTTGTTAGGAGTTCCTGTCTGCATTCCAAAACAGAACTTCTTTTCTAATTTCTGACAACGGTATTTCCATTCATTTAAAAACTCTGCTTTTAAAATGAAAACATGGTGCTTACTTTCCACACAGAGTTGCTCTCTCAGCGTGTTTGCAGCCTAAGAAGAAGAGGGTTGATAAAATGTTCACTGCCTCTAGTCAGTTCATCCCTTTCCTCTTCTTTGCTCTTGTTTGGCGTAAATGTGTTCATCTCCTGACATGAACCATGATTACTGTCCATCAGTCATGACAACGCCAGACCCTCGGCCAGTGCTTGGTGTAGAGGTGAGCACATCTTCCCATCCTGGCTAATGAGATGTCATGGAACATGAGATGGGGTTTTCTGGGTAAAACCTCCCTCGTAGAGAAAGAGAGCAGCACAAGATACAAGGCACTCTTGACTCCTATGCTGTCTGTTTTAAGTAATATTATGTGGGAAGTGGATGATTTAAGTTCCTGCAGTCATTTTGTGACCACAAGGAGAAAGGTAAGAAAATACCAGTGTTGTTGAGCCAGCTCCCTGGCATGGCTGAGTCGCAGAATCAGTCCTGCAGCAGTCTTCCTTCAGACTTTTTGTTTCTAAGCCATTCTTAGTCAGGCATTCTGTTATTTGAAACGAAAGGTTGCTCAGCGTGTATGTTTGATCATGCGGTCCAACCGCCCAGGATTTGCAACCTGGCTTACATTTCAAATGGAAGAGCAATGTGTCCCAGAGTCTCCTGGGATTTGCTGCTGGTCCCCCTGAGTGAAGTGATGTTAAGTGAAAGCCACTCAGTCGTGTCCGACTTTTTGCGACTCCATGGACTATTCAGTCCTTGGAATTCTCCAGGCCAGAATACTGGAGTGAGTAGTCTTTCGCTTCTCCAGGGGATCTTCCCAACCCAGGGATTGAACCCAGGTCTCCCAGTAAAGCAGGCAGATTCTTTACCAGCTGAGCCATAGTTTCCCCTAAGAGGGTAGTGTATTTCCTAATTCTAAGCCGAGGTTTCTCCTCCTGGCCTACCTTTGACACACACACACACATATACAGAGAAAGAAAAGTAGTGGAGAGAGATGATTTTTCCACCCGAGACAGAGCAATTATATTTTCCTACTCTTTTGTTTACAATTTTAAGCACAGGACATAATCTCCTAAACTTGAGACAGCTGCTGAAGAGCCCGTTTTAAACCAGTGCCTCCCTTAAAAAGGAATCCACTTCCATCTCCTGTTTTCCTGGCATAATACATTTGGGCTGTGTGGTTCATATGATGGAAAAGTCAACATTTTAGGGGCGTTAGCTTTCACTGTGCCCTGGCATGGATTCATCCCCCCATTGTTTTCTTGCCTCTACCGATTAGCAACTTTTTGTTCTCAACTCCAAATTCACCTCTGAGGCCCCGTTTTCTCCTTTACTGTGACCGCAGTGTTGGAAAAGTCCCTTTGCAAGGGCTTTTCTCCTTCGCGCTGACCGCAGTGTTAGGCTTTGCCAGGAGAGGGCGCCGGTGGGTCATCGCAGGAGGAAGCAGCTCCGCTTGCCGTCTCCAGTTGCCTAGTCCCACAGGTGGCTGCGGCGGGGACGTCTGTAGGTCTCTGACCCAGCCCTGCGCCTAGACTGCACACACCCTGGCCTGTTGGCCACCTTTCTGGAGCTGTCCCAGTGCAGACACAGACCCAGGCCTAGCATTAGCTCACCTGTGAGTGGACTCTGGGCACTGTGACCCCTCTGTGCCCTCTGTCAGCCTGCACCCTGGAAGGCAGCTTCCTGCTCGCCTTTCGCCAGTGTACCAGCTCCGCCTGGACATCCAGGTGAACCTCTCCACCATCCAGTCGTCTGTAGCCACACCGTCTCCAGTGAGGTCTGAATCCCAGCCTCGGGGAGGTGTGTCCTTCCTTGAGCTCCCTTTGGGCGCCCTGCGAGTCCTCGTTACGTATTTACAATGGCATGAGCATTCTTTATATTAACGCTCTCATCCTGTTCTGGGGCAGGCGATTCTTTTCCCAGCTTGCCATCTCTCATCAGATTTCTGTCTCCTGATTGTACCCACACTGGTGTCTTGAGTTTCAGAGTTAAGAGGTACTTGGGATAAGACTTTATGTTGCAAGTTGGAGAATACATATCTGCGTGAGGTGGTTAGGCTCCTTGCCGCTAAGTGGAAGTCTCTTGGGGACTGAGCTGGCAATGCGCGGGTGCAAATGTGTGTGTGGAGGCCTAAGGGGCACTGCAGGCAGGTGGTTGCTGATTTCTTCAGAAGCAAACAGGCACTGCTACAGAGGACCTTCCCCTCCTTGTGGCTTCCTGGCCAAGCGCCTGGGAACTGCCAGTTCAGTTGGATAAAAATGCTAGGAAAGAGTCTAAACTTTCTCTATCAGCATTCCTAAGGAGTGTGCCTAGGAATCTGCATTTAAGTGCACAATAGAGTATGCCCACACTCTTGTGCCCACAATAAACATTATGCCCACATAGAGTGTGCCCTAGGAATCTGAAGTTAAAAGCCCTCCTAAGGGGATCTTTGGGCTTTCCTGTTGGCCCAGATGGCAAAGAATCTTCCTGCAAAGCAAGAGACCCTGGTTCGATCCCTGGGTCAGGAAGATCCTCTGGAGAAGGGATGGCAACCCATTCCAGCATTCTTGCCAGGGAAATCATATGGACAGAGAAGCCTGGTGGGTTTGAGTCCATGGGGTCATGAAAAATCGGGCACGACTGAGCAACTAACACTCAACGGGATCTTTAGGCACAGGAAAAGCACGTGTCTCCCTGCTGGGGGAAGTGCCTCCACCAAAGGCCCTTTCAAGAGAGGAGGCAGCACCTCGAGAAGGTGCCGAGATGTCAGCTGGGCCCTGTGTGGCCCTGGGCCCTGGGGATGCACTTTCACAGAGGTGGGCATCCTATGTCAGGGATGCTCCAGCTGTGAACACTACTTAGAGACCTTGGACATGGAACGTCCCCTGGTCCTTCAGTTATCAAAGGATGCTGTGACCATTAAGCCCTTGGCCACAGCAGCACCCTCTCCCCCCAAATATGGGGATTCAGGTTGGGAGAGAACAAACTCTAGGCTCACTGAAATCCTTCCTTCCATGTGGCCCTTAGCTGTCTAGGTCTAGTATCCTGTTTCTCCATCCTGAATCCCTGCAGGGTGCACAGTCGGGCAGCAGTGGCTGAAGGTTTGATGGCTGTTTAGTGATGTTGCAGGTGGCATTTTTTGTCCACGTTTTTGTAAGTTAAAATGAAGCCATAAGTGCAGACCCTAATCCTGTGTGACAGTGTCCTTAAGAAGAGGAGACTTAGGACAGGGACAGAAACAGAGCAAATGTGAAGAGAGGGAGAGACAATAAGTGTGAAGATGGCCACGTACAATCCAAGGAGAGAGGCTGAGAGCAGATCCTTCCCTCACAGTCCTCAAGGGGAACAAGCCTGCAGACAGTCTCATCCTGGACTTCTGGACTGCAGACTGTGAGACGATGCCTTCCTGTGTCTAAACCCCTGGTCTGTGGGAATCGGGCAGGGCTGGAAGGCTGACACAGGCCTATCTCCAAATCTACCTCCTGCCCTTGTTGACTAAAGAAAACAGGCACAACCTAAAGTGGAGAGCTGTGTTTTATTTGGTGGGAATTTTTAAGACTTCAGTAACTTCCCTGGTGGCTCAGATGGTAAAGCGTCTCCCTGCAATGCAGGAGACCTGGGTTCTATCGCTGGGTTGGGAAGATCCCCTGGAGAAGGAATGGCAACCCACTTCAGTACTCTTGCCTGGAAAATCCCATGTATGGAGGAGCCTGGTGGGCTACAGTCCACAAGGTCGCAAAGAGTCGGACACGACCGAAAGACTTGACTCTCTCTGTCTGTCTCTTTTAGGACTTCAAGCCCTGGAAACAGCATCACAAATGACCCTGAGAGAACTGCTCCAAGGAGGTGAGGGAGGAGCCAGGCTATATGGAAGTTTGCAACAAGGGGTGGGTAGTCTGAATATCAAATGACTATTGTTAATTAAGGAAAATCAGATATCTCAAATTAAGGAATTTAGCACTCTTCAATATATGGGAAGATGCACGTGTCTGGGCTTACTGAAAGCATTCCTTTCATATGCATCTCAGCTGTCTGGGGCCAGCATCCTGCATCTTTTCAGATACCCCACCACCACACTCCCAGACCCTCAGTACTACTAGCCCAGTGGGGGCAGCCCCATGGCTGCCAGGTAGTAGGCACTGTTCTTCCCAGGCACCCTCAGGGCTCAGAAACTCACATCCAGAGGGCGGAATCACTGAAGCTGGGACATCCTTATTTATAGATATGGCAGGAAATGCTTCATCTCTTGAGACTTGGTCTCATGGTCTGATAAGATAGGAACCCAAACCATGAAGACCAGCTGTCCTTTCATCCCCGCAACAAATGTGGAGGTGGGCTTTGTAGTCATCTTCGTTAACGGGTCAGTGAAGTGAGGCCCACAAAGATAAGGGGAAGGGCACGTGGCGTTCAGTTTTGCGTGAATCCCACCTCATGCTCTTTCCCATGCTGTCCCTGCCCACAGCCTGTGGCTGATCTCATTCAGGGACACTCTCTGTTCCCTTCGGACTTGGAACTTGTGACTGGCCTCAGTGAGACTTTAGCCTGGGGATTGCTTTTCTGTCAACTTCCGTGGATCAAGAAAGGCTTGGTTGTGTCTCCCAGGGAGAGCGTGATAGAACTGGCGAGGCTCTGCTTCCCTCTTCAGTGCTGGTTATGTGGCTCCAATCTAAGGCTGAAAGACAAGAGGAACATGTTTCCAGCTTTGGAAACAAACCACTGATGCTTTGACTCTTGGAAATGGTCGGAGACCTTCAAAAGGGGGAAAAAATAAACTTGGAATGCAGCAAAAGATGGGGAAACTAATGCCTGACCTCCCTGAACTGGAAAAGACTGTGGGTATGTCGATGACCTGTGGGGAAAGGAAGCAGGACTGAGTCCCCAAGGGAAAAGGGGGGCAGGGGTCCCAAGATGGTGGGGGCCAGTGGGGTGGCTGGAGCCACGGTGAGCATCCCTATGTGGGAAAGGAAGCTGGAAACGCAGGTCATTACGAGGAGGCGGCCCAGGAGCCCAGTGTCTTGTCATTTCCAGGACAGGGAGATTTATCCCAGTAAACGGCTCGTGGTTCTTGGAGACAGATGTGGCCCTCGTTCAGCACCGCAGCCAGATCATCTGTTTTGCTTTTTGTTTTCCATAAATACGTCTCTCTCAATGCTGACAGGGGGAGATTTGGAAATAAAACACAAAATCGTTTTCTATGAGCGTGAAAGGCTTAATTTATTACCAACCTTTCAACCAAATGAAAATGATTTGCTTTTTTTTTAGAGACTGTTTGCTGAACAAATGTTTTAAAAATGCAACAGATTATTGCAATTATTGTACCTACTTTTAAAAAAATTTACCAACGGATAGACAGGTGCTCTGAGAATGTTTTCATACATTTCTCTCTGAGAAGGTGGAACTTGAGATGAAATTGCCTGGGAAGAGCTTCATGTACAGACTCTCAGTTTGCTGGTCCTGCTGCTCCTGGTGTGGTGCCTGCGATAAGCCTCGAGATGGGCACCGCGTAGTTGCCATGATACACTCACTCTTACACTGTTCATAGGGGTGCTGTTGGCCTTCTCGTCTGGTTCATGGGGTCCGTGATCTGTCAGGATCCAGAGGAGAAATACATTTTAGATTTCACCCACAAGAAAAGCAGTAATGCTCTTGAGGGTGTGGGCTTCCCTGATAGCTCAGTTAGTAAAGAATCTGCCTGCAATGCAGAAGACCCTGATTTGATTCCTGGGAAGATCCCATGGAGAAAGGAAAGGCTACCCACTCCACTATTCTGGCCTGGGGAATTCCATGGACTGGATAGTCCATGAGATCACAAAAAGTCAGACATGACTGAGTGACTTTCACATTCTAGAGGGTGTAGGACACGTTTGTCTTATAGATTCTGTGAATCTTGAAGACGATCACCTTTCCTCTTGTTACCATATCCGGGAAGCTTACAACCAAGTTTGTGGTTCCTGTTTAATAGATGTGTAGCATCTTTGGGGCAAATTTTTGTTGCTGATCCAAATGGGTCCACTTGCCCATAAGCAATAAAGTCAATTTACTGACACTGGGTTGTGGTGAAGGAAAATCCGGCATTTATCACAGTGCTCTGTGTAAGGAGTCTGAGAAGGCCAATGCTCAGAAAGCCTTTACTCCCAGATAGATTTGAGAAAAGCCTTTTTAAAGACAAGGTGGGGTTTTCCAAGTGGTGCTAGTGGTAAAGAACCTGCCTGCCAATGCAGGAGATGTAAGAAGTGAGGGTTCAATCCCTGGGTCGGGAAGACCCTCTGGAGGAGGGCATGGCAACCCACTCCAGTAGTCTTGCCTGGAGAATTTCACTGATGGAGGATCCTGGTGGGTTACAGTCCATAGGTTTGCAAGGAGTTGGACATGACTGAAGCGACTTAGCACTCATGCACCAGGGAAGGGGGTCACAGGGTGTGTGATCAGCTTGTGCACAGTTCTCTGATTGGTTGATAGGTAACAAGGTGGTGTCTCAGGGGTTAACATGAGCAACTCTTAGGCGGGGATAGGTCTGGGGGCAGGTCTGGGGGCAAGTCTGGGGCTACCACTCATGGTCATCAAGTAAATTTCTTCCTCTTGGTGCCTTGAGCATCTGTAAAGCCACTCAGGAAATGTGCATCAGATACTGTTATCTAGGTACTTCAGAGAGGAATGATGGCAGAGCATATGGGGAGGGGTCTGTCTTGAGGAGGCCCCTTCGCGTGCTACTTGATTATTTTTTGTGTGCTTTTCTATTTCATTCCTCTTTTGTCACCTCTGTGTGGTATGGTTTCTACAAGTTTCTTTGATTTATTTAGACTAAGATGCTCTAGTGG